TTGTGCTTTATATATATAAAAGATGTACGACGTTTCGACAATATTATGTCTTTCTTTGATAGATTGTTTAGGCATAGTATTCATGATGAAACTGTTGTAGAAACATAAGTGTAGAGGATGACGTTTCGAAAGTCATCATCGGGTACAAGTAGTTTACATAGATGCAGGAATATACAGTATGGAACAAAGAGGTCACATGAGCAGAGATTGCTTAACGTCTTAGTAAAGGTATCTTGGTACCCCAGTGTGTTGGTTTAAAGTAGAACTGTTTTGTTCAATTAGGATAGCTTCCTTTGTTTTATGTTTGGTTCTTTGCTTAAAATTACAGTGTTTTGTATAGATATACTGTGGTTATTTCAGTGGCAATATGGGAGTTTTTATTATTATTTTTAGTGAATATGGTTTCTAATTTTATTCCGGTTTCTCCGATGTGAAGTAACTGGACAGTTATTGCTCCTTATTTAATAAATGACGTTTTTATTATGTGATTCAATGTAATTTTTATTCAGTAATGAATTTAGTTTAGGGCTGGGTTTTTGAGTGAATTTGAAGTCAACAGGAATTTTATGTTTAATTGGCAAGTTTTCTCCAAGTGTTGATTATTTTGGAGCTGATGTCGGGGATAAATGGTAAACGGCAGTGTAATATTGTGTTGTTGTTTAGTGTGTAAGTGTCAAATTTATTTGTGATTTGAGTTTTCATGTTTTTGTTCTGGTGGTTGTGTGTGGAAATGTTTCGACAGTAGCTGGTGGAAATTTGTTGATGTCAATGAAGAAATGCTTTATAAATTGATTTCTTCGTCTTTTTAATCGGTTGAGCAAAGTTTTGGAGCTGTGTTTACTAAAGTGTTTTAGTATATTGATTTTTCGTTTGGATTCTTGGGCGGAATTCCAGGGGATGTGGAGGCCTGTGTGGGCGATTTCTTGGTTTTGAACTGTGTGTGTCGGATCTGATAATTTTGAGGTTAAAAAAAGACAACTGTTTCTTATTTTTAGTTTCAATGGTGAAGAATTTAATGTTAGGATGAATGGAGTTTATGTGTTTAAAGAAACTGTGTACGTGTTCTATAGAAGTGAAACGAGCAAAAATATTATCGACATATCTGTACCGGTATAAGGGGGATAAAACGCGGATTGTATTGTTTGTGTTTCGATCTGGGTCATAAGTATGTTGACGAGAAGGTGAAACAGGGTTGCCCATGCTTAAACCATCTGTTTAAGAAAGTTTTTATTGTTGTGAATTCTAAGAGAGAAACAAAAAGTGTACTGGAGATATAAATTAAAGGATTGAGGTCATTACGGTAGAGGTCAAGTACACTATTACAAGTTTCCTTGATAGGAACTTCTGTGAAAAGTGACACAACGTCAAAGTTGGCAATTAATTAAGGATTGAGCGTTTGATGTGTTTCTGAAATTAAAGACATCTTTAAAAAAGGAACTTTAAGGTTGAAGACAGTTTTTGATATCTACATAGAAGTTGTGAATTTGCCAACAGAGGGAGTATTGAAATAACGGTTCTTTTTATAATTGTTCTTAGTAAAAGTAGGCCAACAGTGTAAATTCAAAGTTGTTAGCTGATGATGGAAATATAAATAGGAATGTTATTACCTACCAGTAGATGTCGCGATGATACACTGGTTGTGGGTACAAGCAAATGTTTAATACATGCAATGCTTTTGAGAAGAAATTACTACATAAACGTGTGTGTATATATATATATATATATATATATATATA